GCCACCGACGTAAATACGAGTCAGATGCCAAGCATCTGAATTTTAATCATGTGATCGTGGGGGATGCTGCAGTGGGTTGTAAGTCTGGGAAAAAAAAGATCATAAGTCACCTTTTTCAAATCGGTTGGAACGTCAAAACGGTCTAAGTGGAAGACTGCCTGTAGCAGGGGTGAAATGTAAAATTTGTTGCTACCGATTCCGTGGGCATGGCTTGGTGGGGGGTGGGGGTAATGTGACTGGGTGGGCGTGGCCATTTTTTTTTTTTTTAACTTTTCAAAGCATTTTTTCTAATGCTTTGAAAAGCCTCTGCCTTTCAGGCAACTCAGCTGGGATCGTCAGAGAGGCTTTTTAAAAACTGCTTTGAAAAGCCTCTCTGACAATCAGGCAACTCAGCTGAGATTGTCAGAGACTTTTCAAAACATTTTTTTTACCACTTCTTTGGCTAAGAGGTTGCAGAAAAAAATGCTTTGAAAAGCCTCTGACGATCCCAGCTGAGTTGCCTGATCGGCAGAGGCTTTTCAAAGCATTAGAAAAAATGCTTTGAAAAGTTTTTTTAAAAAAAAAAATTGGCCACGCCCACCCAGTCCCATTCCCCCCACCCCCCACCAAGCCATGCCCACGGAATCGGTAGTAACAAATTTTACATTTCACCCCTGCTACAGCCAGTCTTCCATTTAAAAAGCCAGAGGCTTTTTTTTTTTACTTTTAAAAGCATTTTTTCGTCGGAAGAGGTTGTAGAAAAAATGTTTTTAAAATTTTTTTTAAAAAAGCCTCTGATAATTGTGTGAGTCAGCTGGGCATGTGGGGGGGGCGCAGGGATTTTTGCTACCGGTTCTGCGAACCACCCGCCACCATCGCTACCGGATCAGGCGATCCGGTCTGAACTGGGAGCATTTCACCCCTGGCCTGTACCTATTTCTTCCCTGCGCCCCCACCCAAACATCCTTCCATCGTTGCACTGGTATTATTTCTCGATTCTTTCGTTTCATTCCTTCCTCCTCTCGTAGGGTACCAGCAGACCCTCCCATTACTATGTGCTTTGGGACGATAACCGGTTCACAGCAGATGAGCTTCAAATTCTCACCTACCAGCTTTGCCATACCTACGTCCGTTGTACCCGCTCTGTTTCTATCCCAGCACCAGCATACTATGCCCGATTGGTGGCCTTCCGGGCGCGATATCACCTTGTAGACAAAGAGCATGACAGGTGAGTAGTTGCACCTCCCACCAGCACCCCCCCTCCCCATGAAGATGCTCCTTGCAGAGTCCGATGTTCCACCACTGGGGGGCTCTAGTGAGTTAGAGGTTCTGGTTTTCTCTGAGCTGGGTTATTTCCTTGAAGACCTTTTATTATCTGATATAACTGATAACACAATGGTGAAATCCAATTTCTTTTTACTACCGGTTCTGTGGGCATGGCTTGCTGGGCGTGGCAGGGGAAGGATACTGCAAAATCCCCATTCCCACCCCACTCCTGGGAAAAGGGAGGGAATGGGGATTTTGCAGTATCCTTCCCCTGGAGTGGGGAGGGAATGGGGATTTTGCAGCATCCTTCCCCCAGGAGTGGGGTGGGAATGGAGATTTTGCAGAATCCTTCCCCTGGAGTGGGATGGGAATGGAGATTTTGCAATATCCTTCCTCTAGGATGGGAAGAGAATGAGGGTTTTGCAGTATCCTTCCCCCTGGAGTGCGAGGGAATGGGGATTTTGCAGTATCCTTCCCCTAGGAGTGGGGTGGGAATGGAGATTTTGCAGAATCCTTCCCCTGGAGTGGGATGGGAATGGAGATTTTGCAATATCCTTCCTCTAGGATGGGAAGAGAATGGAGATTTTGCAGAATCCTTCCCCTGGAGTGGGAGGGAATGGGGATTTTGCAGTATCCTTCCCCTAGGAGTGGGGTGGGAATGGAAATTTTGCAGTATCCTTCCCCCTGGAGTGGGGAGAAAATGGGGAATTTGCAGTATCCTTCCCCCAGGAGTGCAGTGGGAATGGAGATTTTGCAGTATCCCTTCCCCTGGAGTGGGGTGGGAATGGAGATTTTACAGTATCCTTCCCCTGCCATGCCCACAAAGCCACGCTCACAGAACCGTAGTAAAAAAAAATTCAATCTCACCGCTGAGTGTTTCCAACTATGGCAACTGGCTGGGGAATTCTGGGAGTTGGAGTCTTAAATTTCCCCAGAATAAAGTTGTGTTTATGCTGACAGTGATTTCCCTGCCAAGAGAAATCTGCCGTCCTCCTCCGTTTTGTCTTCTAATTAACGCTCTCTTTTAATCCCCCCCTCCCCCCCCGTTCCTTTTCCTCTGCCCTTTTAGTGGAGAAGGCAGTCACATCTCCGGCCAGAGCAATGGCCGAGACCCTCAAGCTCTCGCCAAGGCTGTGCAGGTTCATCAGGACACTTTACGTACCATGTACTTTGCTTGAAAGCCCAACATTTTTACCTCACTCCAGAAAGCTTTCCGATTTGTAGGAGCCATACAAAAAAGAGAGAGAGAAAGAAGAAAGAAAGAAAGAAAGAAAGAAAGAAAGAAAGAAAGAAAGAAAGAAAGAAAAAAAAAGAAAGAAAGAAAGAAAGAAAGAAAGAAAAGAAAGAAGAATAAAGAAGAATAAAGACGCATTGGAGCACCTTGTGGTTATCCAATGGAGAGATCACTGCAGGCCACGGACTAAACATTTCTAGGAAACAACCCTTGTTTTCCAGGGTCAACGCAGGAGAACTGCGTAACTGGATGGACACACCTTTGTAGTATTAAAACAAGAGAGACTTTCTGTTTTTCAGGCTTTCCAGTTACCTGACCAAACAAATGCAAAAATATTGAAACCGAGGGAGGGAATCTGTCTTTCAACTTAAAAAAACAAAAACAAAAACGAAACAAAACAGTTTTTTTCATCACTGGGATGGTGGGCAGGAGAGACAGGAGATGCAATATTAGACTTCTGACTGTGAAATAAGAAGAGTTCCAGTCCTTTTAACGCCCCAATCAAAAATCCTGTTTCTTATTGGTTCAGGGCGGGGTTTGGGGGGGTGGGGGGTGGGTCTTGTAGAGCCTTAAAACAGATGACTAGATTTATAAAAACTAATATTTTAGGATACAAAAAATGCTTTAATTGGCGAAGAAGAAAAGAAGCCAGTAGTTTATAGATGAATTTTAACACAGTTACCCCCTTCTCTGCAGAGGAAAGAAAGAAAAATAAATATGATTTTTCTCCCCCCCTCTTCCCTTTCTATATGATAATGGTGTAAGGTACCCGTAGCACTTAACCACAAAAGGAAACTTGTCTTCCGTCTGTTTAAAAAGTGAGTTGGCTGCTGCCCTTTTAATGCGGCAGAAACACACCGTGGGCGAGTGCCTTACTTCAGTGCTACAAAACGATGACATATTTTTTTTCACCTTTCCAAAAAAAAAAGAGGAAACCAACAATGCTCTTGATTTGACTCGGTCGTGGTCCAGATCTCTAGCTTGAAAGTGTCTTGGGGTTCTTTTTGGGGTTTTGTTGATGTTCACCAAGCATACCATTTCATGTTCGCTCACAGCCTCGTGGTGGATTACAATTCTGTGCACTTTTATCCTGACGTAGAAATTCGGAGAGCTGCTGATGATTTTAAAAAAAACAAACAAACCCTGCTTTTTTAAAAAAAAAAATACGATGAATTGCAATTGGTTGAATTGCTTCTGATGTATTTCTTGTGTGGTGATTTTTTTTCTCTCCCCCCCTCCTTTTTAATTTAAAGAACGCCTGCATTTCCGATGAACAGGGTGTGTGTAAAAGGAAGAGTTGTTTTCGTCTGCCCTGCAAGCACAAAAAAAAAAAAAGAAAAAGAAAAGAACTCTGCTCTCAATTCATGCCCTGATTTTTTTAATATATGGATGAGATTTTTTATTATCAAGTATTTTTATACGATGCCGAGTCTATTGCCAAAACTTACACTCAAATTCTCACTGTTTACATCATCTCCCCTCCTTTATCTCTGTCTGACATTTTGGGAATATTCGTACAGCGCACCAAGTAGATGGCTGGATCACCACAAAAACTCAAAATTGGAAGATTTCCAGGAGTTTCCCAGGAGCAGTCCAGCCCCTCCAGAATCTTTGTGCTACATAGTGAAGGAATGATCCATTTCATTTACTGCTGTTGTGTAACTCCGATGTCTTCTCAAGCCTTCTGCTGTTTTTCTATCTAGCATGACAGGGAAGATGGACCTAAACCAAGCCCGTTTCTCCAGCTTGCTTTGAGATCAGAACATTAAAAAACGCACTTTGCTGTTTGTCTGCAGAAATGGATCCTGATTTTTCTAGGGATAAAAACAAACCAGTCCTTTTTACCCATGGCTGTGAATTCCGGTGTTCCTTCCTGCAACAAACCCCTTGGGTAGGAAATATCCTTGCCTGTGTTGACCCCTTGCAAACTGATTTTGGCTGTTCAGAAGGAAGCCTGTGCCATAAGTGGTCTCCAAACCATATTTTGTCACTTCAGAGTTGTATCTTCGAGTGCCAAAGTGAGTTTTCAATATCAACCACAGCAAAAGATCCCATCTTACTCCCATAGAGCTGCACAAACTCTCTTGTAGTTTTTGTGGAAACCTCTTCCCATCCACCTCCCAAGGAAAGGCAACACTTGCGGGGTGAGACTTGTGGACTGTGTGCTTCCAACATCAAGTTCAATTTTCTTCTCTTTTTTTTTAGGCCTTGTCTCTTCTCTCCCCCACCCCCTTCCCCGCCTCACCATCTCCCGCAGGGCAGAATGTTAACCCATCTGAAAGCTATGCAAACCAACAGGCCACTCAGAAGGGAACCCAGTTGGGTGCTTTGCAATTTGATTGTGAGTCTGTTAATTCTTTAACCACAAGGCTAACAACTGCTATGGGAATTCACCAGCCTGACAGTGTGCACAAAGAGGAGGTGGAAATTCCTGACACGATGCTGTGTCTCAGATGGCCTCAGATGGAGCAACTTGTCTGATGCTCTACTTAACGTGGGTGGAGCTGGTTGATCTTTCAAACACGAATAATGCAGATTGTGGGTTCAGTGATCCTTCCTTCCTTCTTCTCATCCACCCAACTTCCTTCCTCTCATCCATTCCTCCCCATCCCTCCCATCTTCCTTCCTTCCTTCCCTCCCCTTCCTTCCTTCCTCACCCAACTCTTTCATCCAGCACTTCCTTCCTCTCTCATCCCTTCTCCTGCCTTCCTTCCTCCCCTCCTTCCTCCTTCCCTCCTCCCTTCCTTCTTCTCATTCTCATTCACATTCCTTCCTCCTTCATCCATCCCTCTCATCTCTCCTTCTCCTCTCCTTCCTTCTTCCCTTCCTTCCTTCCTTCCTTCCGTCTTCTCATTCCTTCCAACAACTTCCCTTCCTCTTCTCCCTCCATTCCCCTCCTTCCTCTCCTCCCATCTCTCCTTCCCTCCCCTCCCTCCTTCCTTCCTTCCGTCTTCTCATTCACCCAACTTCCTTCCTCTCATCCATTCTCCTGCCTTCCTCTCTCCTCCCATCTTCCTTCCTTCCTTCTTCCTTCCGTCTTCTCATTCACCCAACTTCCTTCCTCTCATCCATTCTCCTGCCTTCCTCCCTCCTCCCATCTTCCTCCTTCCCTCCCTCCCTCCTTCCTTCCTTCCGTCTTCTCATTCACCCAACTTCCTTCCTCTCATCCATTCTCCTGCCTTCCTCTCTCCCTCCTCCCATCTTCCTTCCTTCCTTCCTTTGAATCCTTCAAGGTTGGCATTGTTTTGCCCTGGGCACCTGCTCTCGAACAGAAGCATCAAGACTGAAAGCCCACATTGCTTAACCAAGTGCCTGCATGGCGAACTCACCTACCAGCCTTCATCGAAGTTCCTCATAGACGATTTATCACTTGCCTCGCCTCTTCTCAGCTTTTGTGTGAAAAATGCATTTACAAAACAAAAACCGGAAGGACGTTTTGAGTTTTTCTTGGTGTCTCTTCTCCCCGTCTGCCTCTTTCTGCTTTGGAGTAGATTCTCACTTCCAACACCAGCACTGCAACTGCGATTCTAAACTAATTTTTGAGCAAGAATAAGCAACTTGGGCATTTGCAGAACGGGGTAACGTGAGGGAGAAGAGAACCCGAAAGAAACTTAAGAGTTTTGACAAAACCACCACAATCACCAATGTTTTAAAACCAACCCAAACCTCCAGGGCTTGAATGGTTGGTTTTCAGTGGATTCCGTTTTCAGTCTTTTTTTTTCCCTTTCTTTGCACTCCACAGTTAGGTTGCTGCTTTGAACGGAGGAGGGGAACGTGGCATGATTGAGGGGATGTTAAGTGGCCAGCGCTTTCCTCACCCCACCCCATCCCACTTCCTCACCTCTCCCCACCTGGTGCATGCAAAGTTTTCACGAAGTGCCGTAAATAATGTAATTGCTGCAACCTCTTTGAAACCATGTTTTCTAAGTTTGGGGGTGATTCTCCCACCCCCACCCCCCTTTTTTCCCCCTCTCTCTTTTCGTTTTGATGTTTTAAGAACTGGGCTAACCCCCCTTCCCCCCCCCCCCCTTGCATGTGTACGTTAACAAAAGCTACCTGTTGCATTCCTGCTTCGCTTGGGCAAAACTTGTCTTCTGTCTTTTGGAGGGTCAGAGAGTGCAGCCCCAAAGAGGGAAACATTCTCTGCTTCAGCTTCTTCCTCCGTCACTTAAGTGTGGCTGTTGCTGCTGTTGAGCACTGCACGGGTGTTTTTGTAAAATCCGCAAAACAATAATAATAATGATAATATAATAATAATAATAAACCCTGTTTCAGGATGTTTCGCCTTGCACCTTAACCCCTATTCCTTGTGATATGCTTCCTTCTCCCCTCTTCTGTGGCTGGAAATGTTGCTGACTTCCCATAAGTTGTGTGGCTGGAGGGGGGGAGACGGGGAGTGTGTTTGGGGGCGCGAATGCAGCATACAAATGTAGCCGTTGGCTGTTGGTTTCTATTACGATTATTTTCAATTTTGCCTGCACTGCTGCTTGTTCCGATGGACTGCTTTAGGTCTGAACGAAAGGGGAAAGGGAGTGGGCAGATGAGGCTTCGAAAAGCGAGGAGAGATGTAAAATGAGGCCCGATGGAAGATTGGAGTCCAGTGGTTTGAGCGATGGGCCTTGATGCCGCATCGGAAGCTGGCATCGCAAAGACCTGGATTCAGAACTAGCTTAGGGCAGGGGTGGGCAAATATGGGCCCTTTATGACCTGTGGACTTCAACTCCCAGAATTCCTGAGCCAGCTTGGCTGTCTCAGGAATTCTGGGAGTTGAAGTCCACAGGTTGTAAAAGGACGACAGTTGCCCACCCCTGGCTTAGGGGGAAACATTTTTCTCTGCATCCTGGATGTTTACAGTAGAGACGGTGCGTCTCGAGCATTATTAGATCAGTGTTTCTCAACCATGGCAATTTGGAAGAGGCGTGGATTTGGCTGGGGAATTCTGGGAGTTGAAGTCCACACCTCTTCCAAGTTGCCAAGGTTGAGAAACACTGACCTAGGTTTGCAATAGTGGTGATGATCTG